CAGGTGCACCAGGAGACGTTCGGCCGCAGCGGCTGCCGCCGCATCGTGCCCGGCCAGTACCTCGCCTGCGACCCCAAGGGCCGCGCGGTCATGATCGCCGCCGTCGAGAAGCAGAAATTCGTATACGTCCTGAACCGCGACGCGGCGGCCAACCTCACGATTAGCAGCCCGCTGGAGGCTCACAAGAGCCACAACGTGGTGTTCAGCGCGGCGGCGCTCGACTGCGGGTTCGACAACCCGGTGTTTGCGACCATCGAGCTGGACTACTCGGAAGTAGACCAGGTTGGGCGGCGGGGGTTGCGTCTGCGGGGGCTGCTGTTGCCCAGTTGGTTCGCCGGGCGGGTACAGGTTTGGGGGGCCAGCCGGGTCTAGTACAGCAGCCGGGTCTCTTGCAGGTAGGCTGCGGGCAGGGGGCGTGCGAGCGCCCACCTCGCCGCCGCGCCGAGCTTCAGGGGGCGGGGCACGTGCATGGACCTCTCTGTGACAAGCAAGGGGCGCGCCGCCAATCCTGTCGCGCTCGCCGTAGCTTTGTGCATGAAAGGGCCCCCTCCCTCGCAACCCCGCCCCTTGTGCCGTGCCGCCGCCCCCGCAGGACCCTTCCGGCGAGGCCGCGCAGGGCGCCCAGAAGCAGCTGGTGTATTACGAGCTCGACCTCGGCCTCAACCACGTGGTGAGACTACAACGAACTCAAGCTGATGGTGCATCTGTGTTGTTGTTTGGAGGGAGGAGAGGGTTCGTCAGCTTACCTGCAGCGCCCGCGTCGCAGCGGCCCGCGCGCGCCCCAGCCGGGAACGACCCAATGCGGGGTCCAGCCGGGGCGCGGGCTGAGGTGGTTTGGAACGGGAATTGGATAAAAACAATTGGAATGGAGCCTGGAGGCTGTCCACTGGCAGGCCCCGGTCGCCCCTACCTGCGTCCGCAACTCCCCTCCCTCCGCGTCACCTCCTGCGCGCGCCTACGCCAGGTGCGCAAGTGGAGCGACGCCGTCGACAACGGCGCCAACCTGCTCATCCCCGTGCCCGGCGGCGGCGACGGCCCCGGCGGCGTGCTGGTCGCCGCCGAGAACTTCCTGCTGTACCGCCACCAGGTGGGGACGCGACCTTACCGCTGTACTGCTTTCCTGCTGAGCCCTTGCCATCCGCCTCCCATGGGGCGTGCTGCCGGTTGATCAGCAAAAGCACACCTCTCCGTCGGCGCCGCATGAGGGCGCTGCCGATGGGCCTCTCGTTGCCGAGTGAGCGCTCGAAGCCCTCACACCACACCGCCAAGCCATGCAACAGACCCTCGAAGCACGAACAACCAACTCATGCGCCCGCGCGCCGCCGCAGCGCAGTACCCGCACTGCACATAGTGTGCTATCCGTCCCACGCCCCGCGATTCTACCGCCGCGGGCCCCTCTCCCCTCAGGGCCACGAGGAGCTGCGGGCGGTGCTGCCTCGGCGCGACGTCCTGCCGGCTGACCGGGGGGTGCTGATCGTGTCTTACGCGGCCCACAAGAAGAAGGCCTACTCCTTCTTCCTGCTGCAGGTGCGGCGGGCCCAGCCTGCTGCAGGGCGCGGCGGCCTCGACACAGACGCGCGCAAACGCCTTGGGCACCACTGCGCCGCCGCACCGCGCGCACGCACCCCCTGCGCAACCTTGCAGCCCGCGGCTCGGTGGTGCCTGGCCCAGTCCGCCGGCTGACTGCCGCGCCGTGCTTGCCTGCTTGCGACCAAACCCGCATCTCGTGCTCAACAACCCCACCTCAACCCACCTGCACGTCTGCTGGACTCAATGAACCCTCCTCCCGTGTCCCTCCATCTTCCCTCCGCTGACAACCCCCTCGAAACAGTCCGAGTATGGAGACATCTACAAGGCGACCCTGCAGCACTCTGGCGACACGGTCACGAACCTGACGGTCAAGTACTTTGACACGCTGCCGCCGACCGCCAGCCTGGCGGTGCTCAAGACCGGCTTCCTGTTTGCCGCCAGCGAGTTTGGCAGCCACGCCCTCTACCAGTTCATCGTGAGCTTGGTTGGGGTTTGGGGGTTGATATGTGAACATGCCATGTTATGTGGGTTGGAGGTGGGGGGTGGGGGTGCATGGAGGTTGGGAGGTGTTGCGAATGTGAGGGCGTGCGCGTGCGCATGTGTGTGTGTGTGTGTGTGTGTGTGTGTGTGTGTGTGTGTGTGTGTGTGTGTGTGTGTGTGTGGCGCGCGCGTGCGCGCGCATGCGCGCGCGTGTGTGTAGCTGTGCGTGCATTGGATGCACAATCAAGCGACGGCCCGGGCACAAAAAGTGTTGTGCCGGTCCAGTGCGCCGGGCTCTCTGCTAGGCTCAATGGGGATGTCGACGGGGCCCCTCACCGGCCAGCCAAATGGCCCATACTCAACCCTGCACAGCGCCAAGCTGCGCTGGGCGCCGCCCCCTCTTACCCCTGCGCCTTCCCCCCCTCCCCCACTCCTAAAAAACCACTCCAGGGCACCGGCGAGGACGAGGATGACGTGGAGAGCAGCAGCGCCACGCTCGAGGTGTGCAGCAGGGCGCGGAG